GACTGACATACATCAAATTACGCTTACATACATCACACACACATAACACTTATCAAAAACTCCAAATTTCGTAACAGAGCGGGTCTCTTAGCATCTAATCTCAACTCAATGGACTACGCAGATTGTACATCATGTGTTTCAGTTTTCTTGCTACCAAGAGTCCAAACCACACCCCTTCCCTTGACATACATGGATTTCTTTTTTTTATGTTTTAAAGATCGGCTTTCTTTAAATGTATTCTATCGAAAAGAAGCGCATATAGTGCTAGACAAGGGCAAGCAAAACTTGTCCGATTGGCCGATTTCGCGAATGGTGCTGTAGAGGGGCAAGGGGGTACATAAACATGAGCAGGGAGAATAACAGACAAGAGTAGGAAAGGATAGAGAAAAAGACAGGCAGGCAGAAGAACGGCCATGTAGGGGTATGATAGCTAGACCAGCGCCCGGTCCGAAGGAGTAATGGATACATATGTGAATTAGCGGAGAGAGGTCAGATTAGAAGAGCGCACGGATGCTTGGAGCATTGAACGGACGGAAGACGGACTCTCATGTGTCAAGCAAACAGTCGGATAAATGGTGACCTTGACAAAGCACACACATACAGACATACCATACTTGCGTGTAAAGCAATCGAAATATTGTTTAAGCAAAGCTAAATCCTTACGGGAGTTGATGCACATATATACTGTATAGGATCTCTGACTAGTGTTTTATTGAGCGAAGGATATCAAATGCCAATCTTAACGTACCCAGTCTTTCAATTACGGATGCAAATAAATCATAAAATATGACTCAATCTTAGATTATTTTATTTTCCTTCATGTTGTTGCGTCGTTTAGAAATCTCGGAAGATAAAATAAGTATAAAGTAGGTAATGGCAGACAACATTGTTCATTTTGATAATTAAAAAATTAAATTACGCTGACTAACGTTGCAATATTTTGCATTTTTTTAGTTTTACATCAACTGAAACAATTCTTTTTCCATTTTTATGAAAACGTTAAGTAAAACAGAGTAAAGTTTTTCCTCAAAACACAGTTTTTGAGTGCCGTTCTTCCGGAAGGGGCTAATCAGGATGTATGTTTACGGATCTGTGGTATTTCGTAGTAGATGTGATAAGATTAGAATCAAACAATAAGATGAGTTGCAAAAATCACTTACTTCCATTTAGAATTTTCAGAAGTCGTAATTGCGATATGATAAATATGTTACCGAAAGAATGACAAAAGATAATCAATTGAATTTAAAATGACATATACATATAAATACATAAGAAAGTATTTATGAATTTGTTTACAAAAACCACTATGTCGTTGCTCTTTGTCTTAATATTTTTCATAGACGAACCTAAGGTCGGGCTTTAAAGGGGAACCCTTTCGGGTTTTAACTTTTTATCTTAGTGTTTTCAACTTGCAAATTTTCAGTCACAAACTAGCAAACACACACAAGTATGGGTAAATTCAATCGATTTACGGTAGCAAAATATTACCAGTGATATTCTTGGCATATAATGCATACAGTTTTCCTTATTCAAATATCATCATGTGTTTGATTTGTTGCTTTTTTGCAGGCAATTGGACCACAACGGTGTTTTGAATGAATAACAGCACATTGTACAAAAGATTTTACGTGTCCAAAACGTTCCCAGCAGAACTAACTGTCTGTGATTTACTACTTTGTGAATTTTATTGAAATTTTTGAAAAACTATATACGTATGTACATACATAAAGAATATTTTAATTTGCAGAAAACTAATGGAACGATAAGTAAGCTGTCGCCACTTTTCAGAAGAGTCCGTAGTTAGCAATACCAAGTACTGAATGAAAAATATGACTCCTCTGTCTAAAAGCATTTTATGGACAAGTAAAACTTATCCTACTGGACTCTGCGCGGATGCATGAAACACACAGAAGGACTTGACAGAATCGAGGTAGGCTTGCCCTACCGTCTGTCCGCCTTAAATTCTTATATTCAAGCCAGGCATTTGCTACACGAACGTGTTTTAAACCAATTGAAAATTTAAAAAAAAAAGTCCCTGTCCAAACACTTACATGGGCACGTAAAGCTTATCTCTATTCCAAGATATCGAACTTGTTCCGATATCTGACCACAAATGACATTACAAAAAAAAAAAAAAACCCATTTATAAAATCTTTATAAAGTATTTTTGTTAAATACATGCTAAATTTTGATGATAACTTTTGGAATTTACACATACACCCTGAACATGACAATTCAAACGCATTTTATGTTAGCATAGCTACGTGACTTTCACACGTTTTCTGTCGAGTAAAATTTTCCAATAATCGTATATGAAACGTTACTTATTCTAAAAATGTTGTTACCTTCAAAAAGATACAGGAGAAAATATATTGAAGAGTAAAAGATATATAAAAAAAATACAAAGAAAATAAATAAATAAAAATTCTCGCTGCGTTGCGCACAGGCGAGGGAAGAGGGATTCAATAAGAAACAATAATTGAATGTAATTCTTGTTACTCTTGATAAATTTTTTCTTTTTTTTGCTACCTCGGATTATTGCATCATCGAATAAGTTCTCGCTGTAGTCGTGGCCAATGCTAGTGTAAGCGAGAACTAGAAATAGTAAGTAAATAAAACTGCGAGAATATAGAGTTTGGCATCTTTGCGCTAAAACACCATAATTTGCGGAAACATGATTTTCTCTGTTTAATTTGAGAAATACTCCTGCCGATTTGTTGCAACAGGGACAATGCTTGCATTACGATATTCAAAGTGTAAACATTTACAACAGAACCATGATGGAGCCTAAGCGAACAATTAGCATAAATAAATTATAAAGCCGTATGTCTATACCGATCTTATTTCAAAGAAATTCGTTAGATGTGGTGTGCTGCGAGAACCCATCATTAGGGTGCCCCACCAATGAACATTGCCATTGAGACTAAAACGGGCACAATAGGGCCAAATCGGGAGTTTTTCTGGATTGAAAAATTTAACCTTATATGGCAAACGCCTACATAACCTAACCTAAATAGCACTAACAAGCAATGTCATCGTCATATTTGTTCCGATTAACACTGCTTTTTACTGGTAACTTATTAATCATAAAATGAGGCACTTGTGTAAGCGTCCGCAAGAGACTATTCGTGCATTCGTGTGCACAAAATCCATATTCTGCCAAGATATCGCAGAAACTATTATCTAGCGAGTGATAGGCAATATCTTGCACAATTTTAATTTCCACTAAGAAATCAGCGGAAGCGCTTACTCACACCCGCAATAGAAATTTTCTAAAATAATTTTATTTGTAAAAATCACTCGAGAGAATGGTCCTCGTACGAACAATAAAAACAGAGTTGAACTGGATGAGTATTTTGCATTTTTCCTTTTAATTGATTTTTATCATTTTAAAGAAGCAATAATAAAAGATTAAGATCTATAAAAATGTTATTAAGCTTTTATTTTTGAAAATAATCCTAATAAATAAAAGTACTTCTTCGACCCTAAGGAGATGAATACGTCCTCAATATTTATTCTAAGGTGAATAGTATTTCTATTCTTTCTTCTTCAAATTATTATTATCGTTGAAGAAAACGGAAAGCCACAAACTATGATAAAAGTTTCCTTTCTATAACAAAAATGTAAAGTTTTCAATATGTTCACACATATATACACGCATAGTCGATATGCATAGCCATTCATAACCATTATATAGGGAAATGATGATAAAAAGCAATTGATTTTTTTAGACACTTCATGCAGATGAAAATCTTTCAAGAGTTTATGATATTCTGGACGAATAAATGTACAGATAAAAACGTATTCATGGAAAACGGAAATTGAAATTGATTTTCTTCCGGCTTTATAATCCAAGAAAAAAAAATGGAATAAATGAAAAATTATTTTTTTTTCCATTTCAATAATTACATAGCAATAGACGTAATACACTTTTTGCGTCTGAAAAACAAATGCAAGGACTATAGTGTGCCACGGGCGACCATCAGCTATACATTGACGACGACATTTCCAAATAAGTGACTGTATGGGAAGTAATCGAAAAAGTGATCCGATCCGAATCACTTTCAGTAACGTATGACCTTGGGCCGAAGCACGTTGGTTTATCCAATTTCGTCGAAATATCTCGAAAATTGCGACTTGTATGTTGAACACAAATACACAAACTTTTATTCCAAAATGATTCTGACTCGCCCAATGAATCGTGGCAGATTAAATAATATAAAATCGGCTCAGAACTTCGTTCGTCTAATCGTCTGATAGCAATTTTAGCCTCAAGAATGACTACGAGTTCTGTGCTCAAAACTTCAATCGCTATTTATTTTAGTCTTCAAACTTAATTTTAAAATTATAAAAAAAAAAAAATTCTTTTATTTTTTACCTAGTAGTAGAATCTTTACGGGGAGAAAAACGATTGATCTATAAAACTTGGAACTGTAACATCTGGCTGAGTGAGCGAGGAGACAAAGGATCTGCCAACTCAATGGTTGAAGTATTTTGCAAAATTTTATTGAAGAAATCTTTGGACAGGGAAAGCTGAGCATACTTTATATGGTTAAGAAATCATTGAATTGTTTTTTCCCCTGATTATCTGAGTTATTCTGAAAACCATTCAACAGGGGTACAAAGCTGTTTTTAAAAAGCTCTCCGACTATGGTTTATGTGAAGCAAGCATTACAATTTCAAAGATATTTATGCAATTACGAGACATTTTCAAACATTGCAAATTATTCCTAGTTCCAACACCACACTGTAAAGCTCCACACATGCTTTCAAGTATTTCCTCAACAACGAAAATATTTATCGATCAAACTGAACACCATTGAATAGCGCATTAACTTGACTACAATATCCATGTGACGGAATTTGCTAACATAAAATTCCTTTATCTCTTAAACTACTCACTGACTAATTTAGTCGTAGACGTAAAAAAAATTTAGATAAAAAATTTAAAAAAAAAAAAAAATGTACAAGTATTTAATTATTTTTTATGTAAAAATAAAATGAGTTTAACAAAGATTTTTTTACGTTATTACCCACCAGGTATGAAAAGTATTTTTAAAAAAGTTTCTTATTAGATTATAACAAAAAATTAAAGGAGATAAATTTTATCGCAGGCATAGCATTAAACTATCAGCAAAACAATGGCGACGAATATATGCAACATATTGATCTTTTGGATTTAACGAAAAAGTACGTGTGCAAATTATGAGAACTCGACGATGTAGATAATAGAAGAAGGAAGAAAATATAGATTTTTTTTTTTGTTGTTTTTATAGCACAAATCCCGATGAGATTGTACGTAAAATATTGGCCGGGGATTACAATGAAAGTCAAGTACCAGCGGCGACAAGTAATAACAACAACATCGATATTATAAGCCCACACGAAGACAGAGCTTTAAAGAAAGCGATTGCAAAGTTACAACGTAAACTGCAAGAACCGACTAAAAAGAAATTTTATATTCATACGCGTTCAGATGCTCACATATTGCCTCTAACGAATGTGGCTTTCGATAGAATTGGCGAACGCTGTCTAACCGGAAGCTATGACAGAACGTGCCGCATCATAAACACCCAAACTGGTTGCGAAGAGCATGTACTCAGGGAGCATAACAATGTTGTTTTCTCGGTTGCTTTCAATTTACCAAAATGGTAAATATGTGCATATTTCAGATAATACGATACGTGCACACATACCTATACATATCTTTATATATATATATATACCTTTTTTACTCGCTTACGTTCATTTACAGCTCACTCACTATGTCTATTATTACACGTCACACATGATTCGTATACATATATTCATAAGCATTCACTTTTATTCGATGTAATGTACATACACATGTAGTGGAAAGAGAAAATTTTTTCAAATTATGTTCATGACGATACGTTTGTTATACCCTATAGGTTTATAAGTATATCATGATTATACGCGCACCCGAGGCGTTCATGATGTTCATACAAAAGATTAGAAATGCACTACATAAAAAGAAAGGAAAAAAATTTCCAAGGATTCGTTTGCTTTACAAGGATTTTTTTTTTTCTCTCTCTCTCTCTAATTTCAGTGATCGCGTTGTAACCGGCTCATTTGATGGTACCGCGAAAATATGGAGTGCATCTTCAGGTCTATGTCGTTCTACATACGTGGGTCATACCGGCGAAGTGGTGGCAGCTGTTTTTCATCCTATAAATAGCAAAACCATTTGCACTGCCTCAATGGACAGTACAGCTCGGATTTTCGACGTAGAAACTACTCAGGAATTGCAAAATTTGACTTACCATGGCGCCGAAGTGATTACAACACATTTCAGTAGAGATGGCAATTTACTGCTAACTGGTTCCTTCGATAGAACCGCAGCAATTTGGGATATTCGATCGGAAAGGTAATTAATCAACACAAGTTCAGTTGAGAATCTTACATATTTAATGATATTAGAGCAATCTCTTTACATCCATTTATCCACCAACCACCTGATTCTGATTCCTGCAAATCAACTTAATAAATTCTATCAAAATATATAAAATTTACGATAGCCGCCTGCAATCGCAATTAATTCAGGCCCTACGGTTTACTATGTTTTTAAGCATGAAATCTCTTTCTTACCGAAGAGTTCACCTACGCTTTTGATCCGTGTTAGCCAAAATGACCTAACTCCCCATGTAGCTTTGATGAAAATTTATTTTGTTAATTATCAGTTCATTCAGATGGATTTACCTTATTTTTAAAATCAATTTTACGAAGCTATCACAAAACACAACAAAAAAGATTGAAAACGAATTGATTCTAAAACAAAAGACTACAACAAGCCTATAAGCTTGTAAACGTTTAGGTGCATTTCAAATTTGAAACTACTCAAGAGTTTATGTACTTTATGGGATTTTTCAAGCTTGTTTCTGTGCGTTATAAAGGCATTGAAAAAAAATTGCATTTTCATATACTACAATACTGGGTAGACGTGGCCGGTTTCCCCGTTTTTTGTACGGGCAGTACAGCAACGCCTATAGAATATGCGTTCAAATTTTTGTACAAGCAAAAAAAAACAATTTTTTATTCCTTTTAGAAAACGGAGATGTCCTCACTTTGCCTACCATTGTAGTGCTTCGCTCAATTTAATCCATATTCAATACCAACCTGAGTACGAGAACTTCAATATTTCTACCAAATTTGGAATCGATGACTAGATCTTTGCGGCCAAGAGAATGTTTACAACAGACATTGGACAGACGGACAGACACAGAGACGGAAATGCTTAAATCGATTTAGATCGCTTCCTTGTGGAATTTGCAAACGTTTTGATGAAATGAATATAGCTCTTAACCTTCGCCGGTGCGTATAAAAATCATGAGGATAGTCACATATGAAAAATTCTGCTTTCGCTATTGTATTCGGCTATCTGATAAAAGCGAAAGCTCACATTCAGTTACATGACTATCCCCTCTATGTATACAAGTGGGCACCACTTTGCCAATATCGCCGTAACTTTTTAGAAATTAAGAGAAAGAAATCCTAAACTCTATTGTGTCGATAACCGACCTTAGTACATTGTAATCGCGATCTTTGCAGTCGACAAGCCGAAAGTCAGGCTTTATTACATCATTTCCTTATGAGTTCCCTGGAGCAGATGTGTGTGCTACCCGTAGGGCTACAAAATTACTAGTTTTGTGGAAATTGCTTTCATGTCGTTTCAGTTTAATAGCGCAATTGCGTGGCCATACGGCTGAGCTTAGCAATTGTGTGTGGAATTTTCCATGTGATTTATTGGCTACCGGCTCGTTAGATAGTACGGCTTGTGTTTGGGATATGAGGCAACTTGATAAAGCATTATATCACATTGGGGATCATACAGACGAAGTATTGGATGTCGCTTTTGATAGCACCGGCAAAAGATTAGCAACAGCCAGCAATGACTGTACAGCTCGTGTATGGGATGTAAAAGGTGACTTAGCAATGCTATCAATAATGTTAGGTCATACTGATGAAGTATCAAAGGTATATTATGCTCAAATCTAAACTTTCATTGAGAATTAAAATTTTTGTATATATATAGGTATGCTTTAGTCCAGCCGGTGGTATTTTGATGACGGCATCAGCCGACGCCACAGCCCGTTTATGGTTAGTTGAGTCGGGGTTGTGTTCTCAAATACTAGCAGGTCATGAGGGTGAAGTTTTCTCATGTACATTTAACTATAGTGGCGATATCATTTTAACCGCTTCCAAAGATAATACTTGTCGTTTATGGAGATGATATGATTGGTATACGGTCAATATTTAAAAAAGAAATGATAGTAAAAAAAAAAAAAAGAGAGTAACAATGACGGAACTTACCCTTGCACTAAGTTGTTTTTCTTTTATTATTGTGTGCGTATAAGTGTTGAAGTCACTTTTTATTCTTTTCTGGAATTTATTTTCAATATTTACTACTACAAACACAAGCATACGTGTATATATATTTATTTATTTATTTCTCACAGGTTTTCTTCTCTTTCTTTCTCATTCTTTCTTTTATTTATTTATTTTTTTTTTTTTTCTTTTTTCCTTTTATACAAATAGATTAATTGGTTTTTGTTTCTTTTTAGGTTGAAAAAAAGTGTAAAATCATTTTCATTTTGTTTCTTTTTGTTTTCTTATTTTTTTTTTTTTGTTTTGGTTGTTTTTTTTTTTTTCTTTTTCTTTTTAAACTACATACTCGTCGGTTTTAGGAATTTAAGTTGTTCTTGTTGGTGTAAAAGTGTTGTAGTTTTTAATGATAAAATGGAGGCATATGGTCAACAAACATTATATTAAATTACACAAACTATTTCAAACATACATTGCAAGTAAAAAAAAAAAAGAAAAAAATTAGAGTAATAATAGTAACGTAATTGTAATAGAATTGTAATAAAAACGAGAAGCAAACGGGAAGAGAAACGTTCTTTAACAATGAAAAAAAAAAAAAAAAAAGAACAGAACTAGTAGTTGTATTCAATATATAAAAAAAGAAAAAAACACATTAACACACCATATATTTTGCTAAACAGTGAGGAATTACAAGTAAAATTATTTTTTCTCTCCCTTTTAAAAACCCCTTAAATAATTTACAAATGTTTCATTTCTAAGTGGTTTGCAGTATAGAAAAATAAACATAAACTAGCGACCGACTACCGACCGACCGCACGACTTTACAGAAGAAAATCACTAAAATTCTTTTAAGATCACTTCAGCTTACGTGATTCGCTTGTTTGAAACTGAAAACTAACTGCATCGTGCAGAAAAAGAGATTATAGTAAAGGCTATTAATCTGCTTTATCTCTCTTATACAAAGAGAGATAGAGGGAGAGAGACTTTATTATGCGACAACACTCAGACTAAATGTATCGATTATCGTCATAGTAATGTTAAAGAACTGCTTTACATTTAATTCAGGGTTTCATTCGGAAATCTTTTCTCGACATTTTGTCGAAAACTTATGTTTATTTTTCTTTTATTAACTGTTGTTTGTGGGCGAGTTTGTTATTAAGTCATCACTATGATGTGTATTATAATATATATATATATATATATATAAATGTATGTATATGTAATCATGTACGTGTTGGGTTATTTAACAACTAATTTCTCATTATTATTATTATTATTATTACGATTCTTTTGTTTTCCTTCGTGTCTCAGTTTAAGTATAAATTTAAATTTCTTATAATAATATATTAACAGCTAACCTTTTTTGAATCCATTGTTCTTCCTTGAGAAAACTCATAAAAAAAAAATAAAAAAAATTCAATTTCAATATGTAGGTATATGGATTCCGGGTGTATGTGTATACGTTCTAAGTATTTCTTACGGTATTGTTGTTAGTTAGAGTGTAGCAAAAGTTGGGATTTTTTGCGGTAAACGCATTCATATACACTTTGTTGTTGTCCAGTCGACATCATTAAAACATTGAGAGGAGTTGACAAGAGCACAAAAGTTATCAGTTATCATACCATTATTATTATTATTATTATTATGTTGATACCGAAAAGATTTTCTTATTAAAGTGATTGTTGTTGTTTTTGTTGTTATAGTAGTTATTGTTGTTCTATTTGGTTATAAGTTGACATCAGAGATTTTTTTTCCTTTCTTTTCATTAAATAAACAAATAAACAAAAAATTTGCACTTTTTACTATTTTTTTTTCTTTTTTTTTTTTTTGTGTCTAACAGGATTTCAATGCGTTGTGGTCTGTAAGTAAAGAGAACAAACAACAATTGGGAAAAATACATATATACACGTAATATTAGAATTAAATATCTATTCGCTGTCGAATGCGAAGTTCGGTTTATATCGAATGTTTGCCCAACACTTTTGCGAGGACATATCTAACTTAAGGAGTATATTTTATTCCTTTCATGACATAACAGAAATATCTCGCTTGTTATAACACAAGTAACACAACACGTATAATTAAATAGAATGATTCAACATGAGCGATTAATTAGTTGTACATTATAGAAAGACGCGATATCAGACGAAGAAATCAAAGAAACAATGGGTGAACATGTGACGTCGGTATGAAAAAAGAAAAAACAGACTTGAGACTTGCAATTAAATAATCGTTAATTAACCAGACAGAGTACATAATTAATTTTCTCTGCTGGTAAAAAACATTTCTTTCGATTTTCATTTAAAATTCATTCCGGCAGCAAAAGTATTTTGAACAAAACTTTATTAATTTCGCATGTCTGTGGTTCGCATTTTACATATAATAATAATAATGTTCAAAATACAATTTAGTTGTAGGTAGCGCTAAACTTAAGAAACAGAAGAAAGAGATACACAGAGCACATTATTGACGAGAACGAAGAGGTAGGAGAACAGGGCGTGCACAAATAATCTTGATTGATAATGTTTGTGCATAAAATTTGAGGTTATGTTTAAAAGGAGTTTATCATGGGATTGTTTGCGTTTTTTTTTTTTTTCAGAGCATTTGATAAAATTCATAAAACTGTAGAGAAAAAGAGAGGAAAAGGAAGAAGAATTTAGTATAAGAAAATGTAAATATAAAAATAAAAAACAATCGAAAAAATATGAAAAATGGTAAACGCATTGAAAGAGAGACAAGCATATTAAAGATCAAAAAAGCAAATAAAAAGCTGTATATATTTATATATTAAAAGTTATAAAACAAATTTCGTACTTCACATTTTTCATCGGGAAAGAGTTCCTTAAATGTTCTCTCTATGACTGGATATCTGCAAAAAACACAAAAAAAGAGAAAATAATAGCATTTAGAAATCCATGCGGTGCAAAACCGATCTTTTAAAAGAGAATCTCAAATCTTTTGATTCAGCAAGCTGTGGGCACCGGACCATCGCTTAACCCACTTAGGTTGCGAAGTGGTCAATTCATCCGTTCGTTCTTAAAACGAGCTCGTACTTGGCCAATTGTGATGCTAATAAGCAAGTATTATGAGCGTAAGTAAATTTCCGCCAATTTTTAGGTGAAATTTTTTGAATTCATCACAAAAGCAAACAATAAAGGAGCGAAATACTTCATTTCAAGCATTAGACATCGCTAGCCACTAGTTGTATCCTTTTGTGCGAAAACTGATCTTTTAACCTATTCGATCTTAAGAGAGACTCAAAAAAATGTTCATATATATACTTACTTTGCATGTAAACCGCCGCCTGGTGGAAGACCTTCAATATTTCTATCTTGCAAAGCTTGCAGCAATTCATAATAATCTGTGATCTGATGAGTTTCTATCTCCTCTGTAACGGAAAAAAAAGAATAATTTAGAAAATTAATTAACAATAAATATAAACTTTTCAAAGATTACTTTCTAACTACTACTCTATAATATTAAATGGGTAGGATTTTTTAAAAACTTAAAAGAAAATAAATGTAAACAATTACAAATAAAATTTATAATTTATAATTTCTTTAGCATTAACAAGCTTTGGTTTAATCAATATCGTAGATAAAGTGTGGTAATAATTTGCTTTCAAGTGATTTGTTGTTGTATGCACCGAAACAACGGATAATCATATCAAGGGGATAGCACAAAGTGGATACAATCGTATACATGAGCGCATGCTTTCTCCAAGGTAAACGAAAAACATTAATAAATAAGGAAAAGAAAAAAAAAAAAACAAAACAAAAAAAAACTGCCATACGATCAATTGGATACATAAAATGAAAACTATATATGTGTAGTAATGTAAGAAAACAATATTATGTTATTGAACAGACAAGACTTTAACGTACCTTATGCTCACTTAACTTCTCTTTGTTTCTTTCTCTCTCACACTCTAAATTTCTCTCACGATTCTCATACGCCAAAATTGTGTTTTTTTTGACATTTTTTTTTTTTTGTTTTTTATTTTTCTTAAGTTACCGTTACAGAAGAAGCAGATTTTACTTTAAGCGTTTCATTTTTATTTTTTTGGTTTATTAGAAAAATGAAGAAATAATAATGAAAATAAACTGAGAATGTATTTTAAAGAAAATTGTTGTTGCTTTTCTAACATAATAATAGGATATTTTATATTAAGGATGAAGAATGCGTTTTGCAATTAGTATCGGGTTCGATAATCGCAAAGAAAGTTACAAATAATTTTTCAAAACAATCTCCTCGAGTTTTATATTATGTTATGTTATTTATTTATCTTTTAGGTTTTTAAAAATTAATATACATAATTAATTACTGGAGTTCATATATTTTCTTTTTAACTAGTATTGTTTGTTTCTCTTTTCTTTTTTTAGTTATTAATAAAATCTATCTGTATATGCTGTAAAATTTGACTAGAGAGTTGCTGTGATAGAAAATTTTCGATTTAATTACAGTGTGAGCATAAGGTCTTACATAATAAATATACGTTTTTAGGTCCGAATAAATTTTGTTTAAAATTAATTCTAATTATCTAAAAAAATTTTTTTTTTTTTTACTTTTTCCATATAAAATTTTTGATTTTCTTTTGCCAGCAGTTCGTGAATTCAGTTCATTTTTTCTATTGCTTTATAGTTACAAATACACTTACCTACGTTTACGTTGTTGGCAATGTACTTATTATAATTATTTTAATATTTTTCGCAAAATTATAATATAGGTTTCTCTACAATTTCTATACTTTACTCAATTCCATAAAATTTTAAGACGCTTCAGTTAATTGTCATCGGATTTCTCTAATTTCGACTATTAAATTACTATAAAATGAAAAATCTATAGAAAAATATTTTTTTGGTTGCGTGTGTGTAAAGGGATTACTATTCTATATGAGAAATTCATTCAAGTAAATTATGGCTTCATGCCCTATCGTCTATCCACCACCTAGGGTACAAGAAAAGATAATTAAATGAAAATTTAAAGTATTATTATAGTGGCTTGTACTAGTCATGCAATTAGTCAAGAGTATTAATATTAAGGTAGTAAGGCCATGAAATTTTAAAACTATATTATGGGTGTAGGAACTCATTGTTGGTCTTCTTTTTAATATTTCTAAGAATTTCACACGAGTGTATGAACATTAAGGGCATATATAACAAGTTGGAGTGGAGCTTGTGATTGGATTAGTTGGATTTTGAAAATGCCAACACAGGGACAGAGGAGTGGCTGAACGTAAACGAACGAATGACTAATCTATAATGAGCAGGTAGGAAAAACGACCACCAAGTCAATATTCAGTGTCCACGTATTGAGCGTCACGCATTCCTATTTGATCGAAACTGTAGCAAGTGCTTAGCCCGTAAAAGCATAATAATACTAATCGATTGGATATGCATCCTCTAGACTGTGGCCATCACTTTCTAATTCTTTCCCTTTCCTCTCTTCTTTCGTTTTACTCGAATAGGGGACATCCCCTGAATGATTCGTCATACTTAAGGACCAAAAAAAAAAAATTTAGATTTTGAGCTCTTTGGAAAGTGATTGTTGAAAGAGAAAATTACCGTAAGTCCAAGTGGTGATAAGAAAGAAAAGGGGATTTTTTTTTATATCCATTACTGATAGATCGACTCTCTTCTCAACTTTAGAGAAATCCTAAAGCGTACGGAGACCAACGCGGCTCCGAAATGTAATTACAATTGAATGTTTGCCTACCTTTTGTCTGTCTTCGAAGATGAAAGAGTGTCCCTGGAGAGGTCTTTCAATATAAAAAAGTCTCAAATTTCTATATATATATATTCGTTGAAGGTTATTAATAGAGATGGAATTTTTTAAAACTTTCAGAAGACGAAAAACATATAAACACATTTAGACTATAAGTTGGTAAAATACTTTAGGAATTTCCTCCATTCGATTAATATCTCAAATTCGTGCTAAGAAGGGAATGTAAATGTTTTAGATTTATATCTTGATTTAGTAAGCCTTAGCAAATTAGCGAAATCGAAGATAATGAGCGTCATTATCAAATGTAAACCACACTGCGTAAGTTATAAGAGAGAAGACGGAAAAGACACAACAATGTTAAGGAAAAGATCTTTAAGGTCGTAGTATAATATTCAAACTTTATATAATATTTTAGATATTGAGCAATTTTCGAACTCAAATGCGTGAAATAATTACGATTTGAGATGTGACGAGGACTAAACTAAAGTATAAAGATAGTAATAGATTTCCTGTAAATGGTGGTGAATGGGAATTCGCTTTAAAACACTTATCGAGAAGACGAAGGTAAAAATATGATTATTCGAAATACTTAATTACTTATCGATAATAATATTATATGTATCTACTGTATGTGTGTAATAATAATAGGTAAAGTAAGGCGGTGGCAGTTTCTAATTGTGACTTGTTGTCTAAGTTTCTTTCATTAATTATTGAAAAAAAAAAAAAAACTAACCATAACGGAAAGCATCTCATTGGCAATAAATAAATAATTACTTGCATTCAGTAACTAATCTATACGAAATACCGATTATATTTAAAACTACTGAAATTAATTTATCTACAAAAAATCGAACGATTCGTATTAATAGTAATAATAGTTTTTCTAATATTTTTAGTTGATTTTCGATATACTTTCGATTATTAATAAATTTTTCTAATGCGGTTATAGAATTGAAAAAAGCATTTGCTAACTAGATTTTCTAAATATGGTAAATATTATTCTACGCGAAAAAAAAAATTCGAATATTTACGAAATAAGTACATATTTAAACGTTTGCTTTCAGATTTCCTTTAACAAACGCTCTTTACTAATTTACATATTTACGGCTTTAAAAATATTAACAAGTTTTATAATTATCTTTGGCATTTACCCCGGGGGTCAATATTATTAAAAAATAACAAAAGAAATAAATAATTGTTAAACAAAAAACTAAAGCTTTAAAATTTTATAATACTGTTTGGTTTTTTTTCTCTTTTTTTTTTTTTTTTTTTTTTTTTTTTTTTTTTTTTTGTTATAAGGGTATAAGGAGCGAGGGAAACAAAAATTCAATTACGGAAGAATCGAATAGAATGGGATAGAGCAGCACGAAATCGGAATAAAAATTTTTTCAAATTTCAAATTTTTATAAAAGGGGGAAAAATGTGTGTGTGTGTGTGTGTGTATGTGTGTTTGTATATATATGTATATAGCAATCATTAGAAACAAAAGAATAGACGATTTAAACAACCTCTTGTGATTTCCTCAATTTGTTTCTCCAACCGTTTATCGGCTTCTAGCGCCTCTTCAGTTGGTTTAGGTGCTCCGGGGAAGGCAATTATTATAATGCTCATATTATCACGGCTGCCCTGTAATAAGGATAATAACTAGAAATCGTAGTGTTTATTAATTATCGTGTTTTGAGATACGGTACCTTGTGCAAACATGTATCAATGACCTGATTGGCTATGGTTACCAAATCGTTAGTGATTTTCAGCCTCGAGTGTATAAAACTGCAGACGTCCTCGTTGCTCATTACATCCCAGATGCCATCGCAAGCTAAAACTAAGAATTCATCCATATCTTGACGACTTTGACAAAAGATTTCTGGTTCCGGCGAAACTAATTGTTCGCACTGACCCTTTTCTTTAACATTTTTAAAATCGTAGTCGCCAAGTGCTCGCGAAACGGCCAAAGTCCCATTGACTCGTTTGATCATAACACTTCCACCAGCATTGTGAATACGTTCCTTTTCCACCGGCAAGATAGGTTTGTGATCTTGCGTTGCAAATACCGGTGCACCTTGACGACACAATACCGCCCGCGAATCTCCACAGTTAGCAATATAAACTTGCGTAGGCGATACGAAAGCACATACCGCGGTAGTGCCTCCACATTTTTCTGCATTTTGATTAAGTTCAGGTAACTTGCGCATCACTTCATCGATGTGCAAAAAACCGGTACGTATACCCTTCACGTGGTCACCATTTCTAAACTCTTCGGTACTGGTAATGTTATCTAACAGATGCTTGGCACAATGTTCAGATACTTTACAGCCTGCATGGCCGTCGAAAACGGCAAAAAAACTCCATTCATCAAGACCTTCAGCAAGCCCGACTCGCGCATAGTAAGCGTCTTCCATTTCGCAACGCCATCCTTGCATAGAACTGACACCGTAAAGTAACTTGTTGCCTTCGCCAGAGTCATTGTGCTTAATGGTTTTCGGTTTATCGAGAAATCCGCCCATCTTGCCTTAACATGCTGTGTGTATTCAAAGCGGGCAAATTGCAAACTCTAACGAGTTTACCTGTGAATAACAACGACGACGAAGACGACGACGACGACCACGACTCTCCGCACACAAAACCGTTATTGGAATTTTACAAAATTCCGATTTAACTTTTGAAGTTTATGATAAAAACCAACTGAGAGGTAGAAGGTGAGCGTTGAAAAGCGTACTTAGTTCTGTAAAATATTGAATACCTGGAGGAGCGAAAGAAACCGAAAGCACAATTTAATATTTGATATTGGCTTTGTATTTAAATACATAATGAAAAAACACCAGTTGCAACACAAAACGAAAGATACGTGCAAAGCGGAAAAAAAAATGAAAATCAATAAAATATGACAAAACGCAGACGCAATATTTTTCCACCTGGAAAATCCTTAATTCTCAATATTCAACATCAGGCGTGTCAAACTAGTTTAACATCAAGGGCTCCGTAAGGAATTATGCAATCTTCCAAAAATCGTTTTGAAAATTTGAAAACTAGACATATATAGAAAATAATTTTTTATATTATATATTTTGTATTGAGAATACTTCTCCAAATTTAGCATATGAAATGTGAATTCACTGTTCAGACGGATATGGCACATTCACCTAGTGTTTGACATGCCTGCGATGAAACAGAGGATGCATTGCAAACATTGACAGGCAGTCATAAGTACATGACTGAGAGAGATCTTAATTATGTCCAAAAGCTGGCCTACATTCAAGTAAAATACATTTCATCCCAATAACTTAAATTAATTTCTTTACGAAAAAAGAAAATTTTATCACAAAGCAACGCGCTCAATAGAATTATATCATAACCATTCTACTATTTTACGGTGGCCCTTTAGTTACTTTGTTATTGTATTAAATTCCGACATTTAAATTTTTTTATATATTTGCGATTTCATTCCTCACCAATTTACGCGTTTTGCACGAAAATTAAAATTAACATCATTGTAGATTATTGTAGAAAATTTAAAAAGAAAAATCTATTTGTACACAAAAACTGCATAAATCTCGCGAGTTTCTTTCTTATGAATGCGCTTTCAATAGAGTTCCTTATAAAAAAAAAAAAATTGAATCAAAGAAACACAGAACAAATGACAGTTTAACATGAAAAAGAAAGATGAGGAAATTTTTCAATGTTTTGCTTCACTCAGCTAAGAGGATTCTCTCAATTGTATAGTATTGCCAGACCAAATGTTTAATTACAATTATTTTTTAGTAGGCTTTACCTACGGTAGTTTTTATAAATGTGCGAAAAAATTAATAAAAATTAAATGAATATATGTGTATATATTTATATATTCAAGCAATGTGTTATTTTTTAGACTCCATATATATAATATATTCTATTTAATCATGGACAAGATGACCAACGAAAAACATATCTTACGCTGATTCTAAGTTACTGAAAATGGACTATAAACAATGCATAGGAATGGATAAATATATCAATAAAATTACTCCACAATTTGAGAATAAACCGACACGCAACTAAATGGTAGCTTGGGAGCCCCAAAGTTTAATGCGAATTCGTTGTACGACCAGAGAATTAATAGAGAGCTTTTTGATTTGTATTCGTTAACTTGTGAATCCAGTTTAGTTAAATTCGAATTAAATTCTGATAAGCATTTTTTAGCATTTGATTTTCATATTTGCTTTCTTTTCGCATCTTGTCTTATTATATTTTCTATAGTGTTTGTATTCTTGATGAGCGTAGAATTCTAAATTGACGCCCGTTGCCGCATATATGCTACGGTCGGATGGGAAATAGAAAGATCATCCACATATTCGGTAAGCACAACAGGAAAGAAACTCGTACCTTATTATTTATGACAGTTGATGATTTAAAACCCGAATGTTTGTCAATGCCCGCCAAAACAGGTTTGCAATGGGTATTTAATTTGTATATATTTAAATCAAGTAGATGCGGTAGGTGTAGATTGACGCATTTCTTCGTCACGTCCAGAATAGTCATCAAAAATATGGACATGGGTACCCAAGTAGGTGAAAGTCTTGATCAAATTTTCGCAAGCGATATATATCTTTCATTAATGGCAAATTTTGACAAATTTTTATTCATATTCAACATTTTCGTCCAAATGTATAACAGTAGTTCAATAATCAATAAAAAATGATGTCTAAATGGCAAGGGTATACTATTTTCGTTTTTCAAAATGTTGCAAAGAATTATTACAACCTACGTTGCAGATAGCTTAAAACCCTCTTTGCACGGAATTTCATATCGACTTATAAGTGGACATAAGGAGCATTGCTTAAAGGACAGCGACTTTAATCAAAGTTTGTTTATACCGATAATTCTTTATTTGATTTTTAGGCAAGGCGATTCGTTCAATGTCTGCCATAACCTATATTTATTTAAATATTGTTAATGTGATTTAACAGACTATTTGTAAGCCATATTTAGCTACATCATCTTACATACGGGTTCTTGATAACCCTCAATTAACTCTTAAAAAAATTTACGCTTTTATTGTATCTAGCAAAAGCTCTTTCTAAAAATATTTTATCATTCAGCTGAAAGCACTAACTTTAGCTTCAAAGATCGCAACCTTAAAATAATGACACACGTCATTTTCTGCCAATTGTACGCGAGTCCATATATTGATTTCTTGCATTTTTAATTTTTAAATGTTTCTGTTTGCAAGCTTGCAGAAAGCTGCCGGTTGCAATCGTTGGAATATATTTCAAAGAAGAATACATGGCTGAATCGATTCAGCTCTTCACATTGATTAGAAACGCATAAATTTTTCCAGATGACCTAATTTAATGTAATGATATCCATGGAAACTGGCAATCTCTGTTGATGTAACACAATATAATCACCAAAAATTGCGTAAGTCATCAATACTCTGGACACTATTAATACTCGATTGTATTTTCAAGTGTTTCCCGCAATATCATTACTTTCTACATGTCTACTTCATCCTTTCGGTCCACTGAAAGTCGGTTTCTTAAAGTGGAACATTCGAATTTGGCAATTCTGAATAGAGAGAAGGAAGAGAGATTTAAAGATTCCCTACACTAACTTCTCTTGAGAATTTCATATAATTTCATTGTAAACATATGAAATATTTAGAGAATTGTAAGATATAGAAATAATTGGAAAGAAAAAAATATAAATTAAAACCCAATTTCTTAAAAAAAACGTTCCCTTTTGTTAAATGAAATTAATGCGATATTTAGAAATCTTAGAAACGATTGTTTACGAAATCGTTACTCTGAAGCAAGATTCTAAAATTAGAAAATACAATATGACAACATCACTGGCCAATCAATTGCATTGTTTTGCAAAAGGAACCGGTGGCTAATACAAGCAAAAAATCGGCAATTCCTCTATTATACAGTACAATTTCATTAGGGGGAAAATTCTGAAAAATTTACATTTATGAACAAACCAACGCTTTTAAGAATAATAATGTGGAAAATTTTAGTTGAAAAAGAAAATTGAAAAGTTTGTAAATATCTTACAAAGGGTTGATTTCTTCCACTTAATAGCACATTGGATATTTTTTTCTTTTTTTTTTCGATAACGACGATTCAGTAACACGCTTTTATACTCTTTTCTTGAAATATTCGATTAACGTATAACACACGCGCACACACCAGGCCTTTTTTTAGTAAAACATGAAGTCTTTCTTAAAAATTTTAATTTGGTTAAAACAAAATAAACTAACAATTCTTTTCTTCTCCACAACAAAACTTTGATTACAATATTAGCACAATGTTGCCAACATACATTTATTTTTATTTGTGCGCATAAAAGACGATTTCGCAAAAAAACTACAAACTTTTTCAAACCACTTGCTTTTGAATAATAAACACAAATTTATTAAAAAGCAGCAGATCGAAAAAAACTTTATTAAATTTATGGCTTAAATAAATATATTTAGTGTTTCACATATTGCAATATCTCGTTTAATATTTCAGAGTATAATTTTGTTAGGCTGATAGGTTTTTCACTTGTCATCACTTAAGGAGAGCAATAAAATGATTCGCTCTCCTTTTAATATCGTAACTGAATTTTTCAATGAATTTAAGAAAGGTGGCCAGTTGTAACAAAAATTCTTAGTACATAGGCAGTGAGAAAATTGAAAAATTGAATTAATACTTGTATTAATTTTAATGAACTAACTATTGATAACTATGAACGCAGTAATAATGCTTATTCTTAAATATCAGATAAAACTTCAGATAAAAAGCGAACTAAAGAGGACGAAAAAGAGGTGAAATTTATTTTCAGTATTCAGTTAAAAATATAAGTTTTTTCTTTTGATGTATACTTAACCTACTTATTCTTCTAGAATTCAGCAAATCAATAACAAGCGGGTTAATCACGTAACTTAAACTTATGTTTGCCTTCAGATTCAGCGATCGCGCTGCTTGGGATTCTTCGACAGTTTTTTTTCAAAACTGTCTGGGTTTTCTCGACATGAAATCTAAACAGCGCGATCGCGCTGCTTGGTACTCAAACGGTTAAGCGTGAGAACAGCATATAAGAGAGAGAAAGAAAGAGAGAAAGAAAGAGAGAGAAAGAGCTTATATAAAATGTATGGTGTTTAGTTAGCAAAATCACAAACTTTGCAAAACGATGCTTTATAGATTGTTTCATTTCATAAATCGTAAGTTGCAGACATTTCAGATGTTTCGCAATTTTCCACAATATACGATATTCGCATAAGGTGATGCAAAGAGCAAAATATGTTTCTTTCTTATTTCATTCTCTCTTATGAGAATATGCAAGAGATTGCGCCCCTAACATCTATTTCCCGCAGTTACAGCAAGTAAATAGGTTTGTGTCTAAAGAATCTATCAATGTTACCAGATTTTTAGTTGAAAAAAAAAAACTGTAGAATTTATTAAAAAATAAACTCTACAGTGTGCAATAGTTGACTTACAAAATTTTATTTTATTAACTTTTGAAATAATAATAATTTTAGCTTATAATTAGATTATCAAAGAGTACAAGGCCATTTCTTTGAGATAAATAACTACTACTATCACACAATTGAATGACGCGGTTGGTGCACTTGTCCGTCTCTGAAATACCTGCTTACCCAGTCTTACCTAGTTACCGGCCCGCCTTTGATGATAACCGACAAAGCAAATCTAAAAAATTGTCGTTTGGTTTATGATTCTTCTAATTAAAAAATATTTTCTTTATAGATTCTTGGCAATTTATTGTTTTTAAGATTTCTAAAAAAGGAAAAATAAAAAAAAAAAATAATAATAATAATAAAATAAAAACTGAATGCAATTGAAAACAGTTCATGTCTACAAATAAACAAAAATAAAATCTGTTTGTAAAACGTTATCCAGATAATCATATATAATGCACATAAAGTCATACAAACTATATATAAAGGTAGATATATTGTAAAAATAAAAACAAGCATGAAAAACATTAAAAAAAAAGAAACAAAAACAAAACGTGCCGTGTGTGGAAACAATTATTGTACATAAGTACATACTTTCAAGTGGACAGTTTTATGAGCTACGAACAACTTAATTATTAGGTTTGACATTTCGTAAGATTTCTTTTACCGAGTGAGAGGTCAGTTGGTCATAAATCAATTACTACAAATAAAAGAACATTCAGACAAACCGAACACTTGTGCAATGAACGTTTTAGATAAAAAAAAAACAACAATAACAACAACAAAACAACAACAGAATTACTGGATTTTCGTTTCTCACGTATGTGAAAAAATAATTTTGTTACTGCAGTGAAGATAGCTCACCAAGATTTTTTGTGCTCTACTTGCTTGAGTGGAACCACAGGCGAAAACTCGGGTTTTCTGTTAGCTTCCAATGTCCTTGAAGACATATCAAAAATCGTGAAGGCGTTTATCCTCTTCTGCAGTAACTACACACAAAATCTACGGGATAATTGACAGTTATAGCCGAATTGTTCTTCTTGTAATAATAACATAAGGCTTAGGTTTCTTCATCTCTTTATGTCACCATAAGTCAGACAATAAGTAGTACTTTGTAGCTAAGACATGCACCAAAAAAAATGTAAACTACTTCGATGGGTTATCTTCGCCTAATTGGACGCAGGTGTGTGTGTAAGAGACTCTATGTGGGAATTGGTACGGTTTCATTAATTCACTCAATACAAAAAATATTTGGAGAAGTATTTCGTTTGTTTTTATTATCAGTTTCCATTTTTCGTTTTTTTGCTATGGCAGAAAATTTTCAACCTATACACCCTATGCCCTAAGCTATAAGATTCAATTGGTGACTCCTGCGCACAGTCGATCTAAGTTTACCTATGAAATTATAATGAAATTGCGAATCTTTTCATTTCTGATTCTTTATGAGATGTTTCAAGTACCACAGATTAATTTGAAAGTCCAAATCTCTACCACCATTGCAAAAAGGCATTCATCCAAACATTTCAGAAGCAGAAAAAGTGGAGGAGAAGAGCAGCATCTGAATTTTCGATATCTATTGTTCTTTTTTATTTTTTTTCAATCTCTTGATTTTATTCAAAGGAAAATTTAAAGCAAATTAAACTTTTTAAATTCACAACAAAAAGGTCATTTTTTTTTCTTCTTTTATTTAAAAGCATTAAAAAAACAACAAGCCAATATTCAAAATCTAGTTCAAGTAAAAGTTGTTAAGCGTCCTCAGCGTTTCGATTGGCGGGAGAAGGATTGTATTTGCCAAACCGACGAGCAACTTTGCAACAGGAAATCGATTTTTGTATCAATAAATTTTCAACAGGTTCGATATCATTTAGACGATCAAATATAATATAATCTATGTAATTCTGTCCGTCCCTCTGTCTAATAATGATAAATTGTTATCGCCATGACAACATATAAGACTTAATGCTTTGACAAAAGTCATCATCATCAACAGAAACATTTATCCTCCAATGATTTTTGTATATAACACATATACGCTGACATACAGATACACACACACACACACACACACACACACACACACACACACACATACAAACGCACGTACGCAAACACTTATGTATAGATGTAGATATATGCATATCGAAATGATTGTTACTTGTTTTATGTCAGGGGGGACCGATTAAAACATGTTAATAACTCTATTAAAACGATAATTCAATATGTACCGCGTGCATATGTGTAAGTGAACTTTTACGTATACGAGCATACAACAAACAATAACAGCAACATTACTGTTAAACAAGTAAGAAAGGCGTATACTATAGAAGACTTTAAACGAATTTTGGACACCTCTTGCTACGAGGCAAACATATTAAATGTACTTGATTTCCTATTAAATATGGGCGTGTCATATAGGGCATTTCGTAAGGAATAGGGAAGACTATAAGAATGCAAGCCAAGTTCGCAAGTCAATCACGGTATAGATGGCCTTAAAAATCCTAATAGTGTTAATGTGGACGGATAGGCAGACTGCATGCCAGTTTTGCACGACAAAACTGATATTCACTGAACTTTTTGGTGCGCCATGCAAGTTTTATTTGGTTATTTATGGATCGAGCAGGTGTATAAACTTTGCCTAGAGAATATTGCTAAGAATATTGGTGTTTAGAGTAGGACAGGTAAGGGGCAGGTAAGATATTTTTCTTTTACTTTCTAAGGCTTGGTGTGATGCGTTGCCAAGAGCATAATAAACTTGACATATCGTAGCATTGTTGTTTTGTTAGGTATAGGAGCAACTACTTAAAGAAAGGTAAACAAGCGACATTAAATGTGCAAAAAAGTTTTGATAGAGAAATCAATGAATCTCCTATTGAATGAATGTTGTATGTGTTTTAAAAATAATACCGCCTAACAGCACTAATAGCAACAACAAAAGCAATAATAACAACACTATTACAAAGTGAACTCAATAAAAAGCGATTTGCATTTGTAAATCCTTTTGATTAAATGCATATCCACATACATGCACACATATACACATATACACGTTAATACAATATATATATATATATATATATATATGCATAGATATTTATTTATCTACAGATATGTATTAATGTAAGCGCGGTTAAAACTTTTATATCCAACAACCCCGCGAAAAAGATCAGATCATAATCGTGTTTTTCTAAAGATTGACTGCCAGACCGACAGTGCGTTTGGTGTGGTTTGGTGGTTCGTTCAATATTGATCCAAACATAAAATCGTATATTGGCTTGTTTCCTCAATGTGTGATGTTTTATCCATACCTATATATATATATATATATATATATATACATATATATATATACATATATACATGTAAACTGAATTCTCTATGAATGTCTACTTATAACATATACATATATTACAACTCTCGCGATATTTGTATACAACAGCCAACGAATTGAGTACAACAAGAAAAAGTTTAATAACAAGAGATATGCACAAAATGCATACAATATATATGTATATAATCGCATTCATACAAACATACATGCATACACACACAAAAATACATAACCGCATTGGACGTTGTTAGTTAGTGGTTATAATCATAGCAATATTACAGCAACAAAAACAACATAAATAACTTTTGCAACAATTCGTATGTACGACGAGCAACAAAATTTGTAAACGATTCAATTTGGAGAAAACGGAACGTGGCGGCAAAGATAAAATGATTGAATTGGTTAAAGGTGCTTTTTTTATTCCAGCGTGCAATGATACCCTTCCCAGCTACGGCGGAGGCGACTATTAAAGGTGTAGAGTATGAGAAGAGAAGAGAAAAAAAATACATTTTTTTTTTTTCCT